TGAGGCACTGGGTTCAATCCTCAGTACCACATAAAAATAAAATAAAGATATTGTGTCTTCCTATAACTAAAAAAATGTTTAAAAAATGATCAAAAACTAAACATAAATATTAAGAAAAATAAAAATATAAAAATAGGAGGTAAATGAATATATAAAACAACTGTGATATACTGTTCAGACATCCCAGTCCTCAATAGCCTAATTCATGAAAAATACTTGGTTTCACAAATGTTGCGTATGTGAAGGCAGGAGAAGAGAGGGAGAGAAAAGACAAAAAAAAAAAAATCTTAAAGGAAGATACAAGGATTGTTTTTATTGGAGATCAGTATCTTTCCTGCTTCCCTTCTCATCCAATAGGTGGGGTTGTCTGTTGTTTGCTGGTATCTCCACCCTCAGGATGATGAAGGTTATTAAGGTGCGAGGGTTCTGGTCTTAGAGGCAGGGCTCCTGGAGGTGGGGTATAGCACTTGCTGGTCCCCAGTGAGAGACTGCACCCCAAGGATCTCCTTTGGGGCCTGCTTGGGTGATGTGGGTGCCTGGTCTTGCTGGTCTCTACGCTGTATCATCCCCTTTTTCCCTACTTCTCAGTCAGAAACCCCTCTGTCCAGAGGTCTTGTGGGCTGTACTTTGGGGGCTGCGCATGGAGAGCTGTTTTGTATTGGGCAGTTTAGAATCAGGTTTTGTGTTGCTACAAGCTGCACAGTCGAAAGAACTGTGCTGGGTTAGTAGCTGCCAGGGAGGCAAAGAGTTGGGGACTCTAGGTCCCTTGATATTGCTTCTAAGCACCAGCCAGTGTCCCAAGCTGGGAGTTGCCCTAAATAAAGATGGCAACAAAGGTGTCCCAAGATGGAGGAAGCTGCTTTCAGTGATGGGGTGTTGGGTTGGGTGGGGCTGGGTGGTGGCATTGGGGCATATTCAGAGATGCAGCCCTGTGTCGTGCAGTATTGTAGCTGGTGGCTGTCTCCAGACCCTGTGCAGTGTCCCCAGGTGCAGGCTACTGCGTGAAGGAGACTATGGCAGTGGTTGCAGTGTTGGAGGCGACCAAGGGACCCCCGCGTAGGTAGATGGGAGTCTACATGGGAGTGGCTGCCAGAGGTTCTGCTCATGGGCAGCATCCTGTGTGGGTCCTGCTCGGGCACCTGGAGGTCCTGTGTGGATGAGTGACCAGGTGTGTGCTGATGCTGAGGCTTGGGAATCTGAAGGGGACAGCAGCCTTGATTTCCTGTGAGGGAGCAGCTGTTGGGGGACCTCTAATAACTCACAAAGAAACAGTATTCCCACTACTTAAATCCATGGTCACAGAGTGACACAGAATGCAGCTTTTTCCCTCTAGCCCATCATCTTGGATCCTCCTGTTTTGATTATTTGTGTTGTTTTGATTTTTTTTTTAGGATTAGCGATGGTGAAGTGATCATGGTGGGAAAGAGTTTGTTTGACATGTATGTACAAATTGAGGACAGATTTGATCTGCCTCTGTTTCAAGGGCATTGAGATCTCTTAACCCACTTTCAACAGAATCTGCTGCCATTCTTTTTTCAAAGGCCCAGTCTCACTTGAGGTTTCAGCTAGCTGTTTCCTTATAGAAAACTGTCTGGTTCAGTTATATTCTACAGTGGTTGATGTGACTTCATGGACCTTCTTAACTTCCTATCAGGAAGCAATCTGACAGCACAAAGGATAATCCCAAAGCCATAGGACTTAGGAAAATTTCATTGATTTTTGAAACATCATTCCCAAAACATATATTCAGGGTAAAATCTGATAAGGTATAGGCCAAGCATTCACTTTTCCCTCAGAACTACCTCGAGTGGCAATAAAACAAAATGCTTACCCAGAAAGTTCTGCTTTGCCAGTGCCAGGCACTTTCCATTCATATAACAGCTTCACAAAGTCACCAAGAGCTTCTGAGCTAAGTGCATGTGCTACTTCATTGCTTTGAAATTAGTAGCATTCCAGTCTGTGGGGTAGATTTACCAGTAAAGCATCAGAATATATTTGCTTATTTTCCATCGTTCTCCTAGGAATAATCATGTTTGTCATGTACCTTTAAATGTACAACGTTTGAGTTAATAAAATCAAATTGCATTTCAGCAAGACTTTTTTGTTGTAATTGTCCCTCATTCCATTATTACTTTTAAAACTCCAAACAACATAAATGAAGTTCACTTAAGTTGATCAACTAATTCAAAATAATAAGCTGTTAGGCACTTATAAAATGTAATTATGTATTTAGAAGTATTGATATTGGATTTGATTTTATAGAAATGATGTTTTTAGATTTTATTTCTCAGAGGAAAAATGTCCCTTCATGATTTGCTTAAAATTAAGCCTGCAGTTTTGCAAAATCTATACAACATTTTGACCAATAATGGACCGCATGTATGATGGTGGTTCCATGAAATAATATTGCCTAGTGATGTTGCAGCCATCTTAGTTGGTGTTAGTACCTGCTACGATGTGCATACAATGATGAAAATGTCTAACCATACATTCCTCCAAAAGTACCCATTTCATTAAGCAGCACATTAGTGTACATCTGATAGAAACTTTCTACTTTAGCAGTGAAAAGATTATAGTGTGTCTTGCCATCACATTGGGTATAGCAATGTCATCCATTAAATAAGGATTTGTGTGTGTGTTGCTGGGCCAGTCAAGTTTTTTCAGTCCAACCCAGGGCTTCACACATGCTACGCAAGCACTCCATCACTGAGCTACAACCCCAGCAGGTATTAATTTTTTTAATTCTACAGATTTTTCTAAACCCAGATACCTATAAGTTTCAATGAGACTGTCATTTCAGTAAATTATGTACAAGTGGACTTTTTTTTTCCCCAAAAAAGAACAGCCTGGACTCTTTTCCCCAAGAACTCCCTTTCACTGCATGCGTTACTGTTGTCCCTTTTTGGATCATGAGTGTGAATTCTTTCATGGCTCTTGATCATATCCAAGATAACCTGAGCTTGCTTTCTTTTCTTAATAATAATTATATGGAATAGAATTATTCCATATTATTCCATGTGGCACCAATCTGGTAAATTGTAGAACAATTGCATGTATTAAATATGGAATATAATTATTATTATTGTTTCTCCTTAGTAGAAAAATGACTGACTAATCCCCCAAAGACTAGCCTCTTCTTCCTCTGATTCACATATTCTTCTGTTGCAGATTGGATTTGAGGCCTCTCCCCTCCAGGGACAGGCTGCAGCTTCAGGGAGTGGGAGTGGAGCTGATTCTGAGCCAGCTCGCCATGTCTTCTCCTTCTCCTGGTTGAACTCCCTGAATGAATGATGTTCATTCCGACTGCTGCCCCTCTGTCTGCCTGAATGAGATGCACACAGGCAGCAGGGAACTTAGATGAAATTAACATGATACAGATGATGAATGGGACCTCTTGACAGGATTTTTAAAAGAAAGGAAAAAAAAAAAAACACTTTAATTCCAGATGACTTATCTAACACATTGAAGAAAAAAATGCTTTCAGAAAATAGATGCAGAAAGCACTGGAGAAAAGAAACTTGATCTTATGCAAGTCTTTTATTGTGTGGGAAACATGAGGGGTGTGTAGGTGTGGTACATGTGGGTGTGTCAGTTACAAGTAGCAAGTGTTGAAAAATGTGGGCACTACACTCTCGTCTCTAATAGGCACCAGCTTTTTGTTATTAGATCATAGTGGCTCTTATTTCCTTTTCTCTTTAACAATGCAGGTGGTCAGTGAAATTCAGTGTCAATTCAGAAATGCCTGATTTATCAATATACAGACAAATGGTAAATCATTGACCAAAGCTATGAAAATGTTGTGCAAAGTTTTCCTCTTTTCCATAATAAATGTCACTGGATGTGTATCCAGAAATGTTCTTTGAATTTGATGGCACTTTTATAGTCCAGAAGGCTGAAGGCCAAGGACATCTCTTGTGACATTTTTCTAATCTTAGTTTTAGACACTTATATACTAGCTACTTTAATTGAAAAAGACTTTCTAGCTGAAACCAGTTTCTCACACATCTCTGTGGCACCAATCTGGTAAATTGTAGAACAACTGCATGTATAAATATATATGTGTGTGTCTGTGTATATACATATATATCATGCTTTATTTGTCCCACCATAATACTTCTTTCAGAACATAAGTGTAACTTTACTCTGTATGAACTGTTAAATAAATACTGTTTTTAAAAATTTAGTCTTATAATGATTTATTCAGAATTTCATATCATCTTATTAATTTATTAGTCAAGTGCATTTCAAGGGCCTTAGGGGGGAAAAGCATTTTCATACATATTTTGAAGTATTTAATAATTTGATTGAAAATGTTAAGTTATAACTAAACTACTGAAGGCAAATGCATTTTAAAACTAGTTAGCTATGCTGTTGAGTTTTAGAAGTGAGTAAAGATAGTTCATATTCCTAAGAATCAAAGTGATTAGTTTGGAGAGTTTTTGTGCATAATTAAAGCCAAATGTTCTTTGTAAGAAAATATTTCCCCAAGTGTCATTTTACAGCAACTGAGCATAGTTGTTTTAAATGGAGATACTTTCAGGTTTCTCCTATTCAAAGTAGTCATTGGAAAATAGCTCAGGAAAAAAAAAAAACATTTTATGGTACCAATTGATAAAGTAAGCCTTTGTCATGGAAAAACAATGCAGCATTTTGACTGTATGGTTCACCTCAGCTCTTCTCTTTATCCTTTCCTACTCTCCCCAATTACTTCATATCTCATTATTCATCAAGGAATGCTTTTTCCACTGTGAGTGAGCCTCCATTTGTAAAATAACCAAGTTTTAGAGCTAAAAGCAGTTTTCCAAATTATCTAGTTCAATCTCAGATGAGTCGTCTGAGGTACAGAGATAAGGTGATTGTAGGACCTGTGCAGCCACTGACAGATGTTTGTATCTTTGGCAGAAAAAAAAATGCAGGAAGTTTGGGGGATTTTTGACTGTTTGTTTATTGTGCAGAAGACAGTTTGGAGGAAGCTAGAAGAGGAAAAATAAAAGCACAACAACCATTGCAGCTTTTATTAAAAATATAAATATTAAACATTCTCTTACACAATCAATTGACCGAGGATTGGAAGGATGTTTTATTACTGAGATGTTTACAAGAAAATATTGATTCACATTTCACCTTACCCACCCACTCAAGAGAGCAAAATTCTCTTTGGCTCTGACCACTACAAAAGCAACTGGGTGGCTTCCATCTGCTTTTTCAAAGTGCTTCCTCCTGGGTTTACATTTTCTTTGAAACACTACTATAAAGACACTGGACACGGAAACTAAAAGTGGACAATACAAATAACATTGCGTTGTTACTGCACGTGAATACACTTTGTGCATGCTAATTAAGGGATATAGGCTCTGTCCCTGTACATCTATGTTGCAAGCTATATAAAAATAAACAAATGATATCAGAGCAGCACTGTGGTACAGAATACTGTATTCTTAATTTTTTTTAACTTTTTTTGTGCTAAATGCAGAATATTTTTGGTCAGACGCATCATTTCATTTCCCAATAATCTCCATCAGTTTCCTGTTGCTGTGAGCTTGCTGCGCTAACTGCTCGGCCCTGGCCATTTCCAAGACTTCCCGGAGAAGGTGAAAGGTGAGATCCAGGGAGATAGGAGGCTCCTCGGACCGCCGCTCCCTCTCCAGTGCCTCCTGGTGGCGGGTGAGGGCGTTCTCCCAGCTGCGCTCCGCCGGACCCGCGGGGCTGTCAAAAGAGCGCCGAGGCAGCTGCAGCTGCTGCAGCAACACGCGGAAAAAGTTGGTGGCTGCCTGGTCCCGCAAGGGGCGGCTGCCACTGTCACCGGCAAGGGACAAGGAGTCGGGCAAGAGCCGAGCAGCCGGGCTCTTGTTGAGGTTCCCCAGGCGAAGGAAGTATTCCTCTCCCATGCGGAGCAGAACGGGCCGAGGCTGCGGCTGCTGGGGCTGCTCGGGCTGCGGCGGGGGCTGGAAGAAATCCAGGGACTGGGGGGATTGCGCTGCTTGCCGGGCTCCCGGGACCTGCCCACGATTTAGGAGGGCCCTGCATGGTGGGCAGGGCAGGAGAGCCACCAGCAGGACGCCCGCAGACAAGAGCAGCGGCAGCCGCATGTTAGGGACGCTCGCTGCAGAAGAGAAGTGGGCGGAAGGAGAGAAAGAAAGAGAGATAAAGTGTTGGTCAGAATTTAGCTCAACTGAGGGGTGCACTTGGGGAGATGTCTTCCTACCCGACACGCGGAGAAGTGAGAGGCTATGCCCTTGGGGTGGGGGTGGGGGTCGTCGTGCGCTGTCCGTGGTGCTTAAGACACTGATCTCGGACTTCTGCAGTAGGGGTGATAGCGGGAGCACGAAATGGGACGTTTGAGAGGCTCCGCACCCAAACTCATCCCCTCTCCAGGAAGGAGTGACCTTGCTCTTGAGACCCTGAAGAAACAATCCCCGAGTCTTCTTCCTAAGGATCCCCAAAACCTGATTCCCCTGAGCCTAGGTAAAGAGCCATAATTTAAGTTTTCGCCCGCTCTGATCACCCCCTTCCGGATATTTCAGCATTTTCTTCCAAATTAAGAGCTACTCCCTCTTCCTGTCTCTCCATACCTGCCCTTCCTTCCCTTTCTTGGGGGTCGGGACGGATGTGGGGCCAGTGGGGTCCTTTATACAGACAACGTTGAGGAGTAACAGGCAGTTAGGGTAAAGATGAGCAGCCGTCTAAGTTTGTTTTTGCTATACACAGCTACTAGGAATCTTAAGGCACAGTCAGCAGCAGCAGCAGCAACAACAACAACAACAACAGCAACACACACACACACACACACACACACACACACATTCGCCCGCACAGGGACAGCTGGCTCTGCAGGGCACACCGCGGCAGCTCAGGCAGCGCAAAGTTGGCTGCGCGTTTCCGTCTAGGTGCTCCCTACCTTTCCTGGAGTTCTAAGGTGAGCCCGGCGCTGCTGCCTCTCTGCAGAGGGACGTCTCAGGGCTTTTTCTGGCGGTTTTCTTCTCTTCTCCTTTCTATTGCTACTTTCTTTTTTTCTTTGTCTCTTCTCTTTCTCTTCAATGTACTTGGGCTCCGAGTTTTCTCCACACAAGAGCTTGGAGTGGGATTTTATAGCGTCGACCCTCTTCAGAAAGCACGCAGCATTTGCCTAATAAGCTGACGCTCTCTTGACAGCTCGATTGCGTGCTGCCTCTGCTCCTGCATAAATCATAGGGCCCTGCCAAGGAGCGAGGGACAGAGTTTTGCTATTTCAACACTGAATCTCACATCCAATTATATCAACAGATATTTATCGCCTCCTTGGTGACGTCAATGAGCCCTAAAATGGAAGGGATTCTTATGACTTGTCCATTGACAAAAATTCTTGAATGAAATTTCCCAAGTGTGGAAAACAAACTGACCTCTTACTATGGAAGGCCAAATTGTAGGTCAGAAAAGCGACCAAGATTGGGAAGGGGGGGAAAGAGGAAGTGGGAAGGAAGGGAGGTCTACCAATGCAGTCCTGCCAGGAAAGTAACTGCCAGTTACAAGGGGTGGCTCTCTATCTTTCTGGTCCTTCTCTCTCCTAACTTCTATGACCAATTGTCTCAGGCAACATCTTGGTATCTGAAAATGTCTCTTTGCTAGAGACAAAGAGTCCCACCTTCTTTCTACCTGGAGAAGAATGAAGAACCAGGAGAAGACTGAAGGAACATTCAGATTTTAAGTTTCTATCTGCTTTTTCCTCCCAAGAGCAGATAAAGGAACTATGAGTCTGCAGAGACAAGACCAGTAAGTCTCTTGAAATACAGTTTTACGATTTTTTTTTTTAATGATGAGAAGAGCTACTCCAATGATGAGGGGCTGCTGGGTTACAGCAAAGATTTTGGGTTCTCACAGAATCTCACTGCTCCTCCTTTGTTTCCCTTTCACAGTCTAAAATTAACTATGGACTTTTCTCTTCTCAAATTAAAGCAAAAGAGGACCAGTGAGAGGTGCATGAGTTAAACAATCTTTTTTTAGTCTACTCAATGCAAACCTAATGAGAAAGGCATCCACTAACTTCCTACCCTGTGTTGGAAAAAGCTTTAATTGCTAAACAACAAAGCTAAAAATCAGTTGCATTTTTTTTCATTGATGAATACTGACTCTGTACAGAGATAATCTTATTCATTTCACCTCCAAATACTACCAGTATTCATTATAGTATACATATCAGGGATACCTAGGTTGTTATTTTTTATCATTCCTTTTTTTTTCCCAAATTCAACTGTGCTCCTGTGAACCTCACAGATAAATGCTTTCTGACACTACTACAGAATGAAATGCTGTGCCTATAAAACCACACTCAAATTTTGAGTTATATGCTATCATATAAGTGGGAGGCAGTTACCTCTAATTCTGCAATTCAAAATGCAATTGCAAACACTAGTGGCTGTGATTCAATTCAGCTTTCAGAAAACCACCAGAGTTGTTTATCAAAAATTTCCTGTTCCTCATTTCTGGTTACCTCTGCCGCTTCCTTAGTAGCTAATGTGACAAATGATGCAACACATTTTCAGCTCCTGTTTTGGGCCTATACTAATCCACAAATGCTCTGAGAAACAAAAGAAAAGTAGGGAGAGAAATACCTACAGTTTCCTGAAAACTAGCTCGTAGCTGGATTATTGTACTAAAGAATGTACTTCTGACATAAAAGATCAGAGAAAGAAATGTGTCTACTAGGAAAGATGTGGGTTGCTAATAAGGGATATGATTAGGAAAACAGTTGAGCTTCTGGAGGAAGACACTGTTTCATACAGAACCTTAGTTTTTGTAATTGTGTGCGTTTTAAAAGTAGAAGTGGAACTCAATATTTTTGCTATGTTCCTTTGTGGTCTCTTCTCTGTCCCCATTGACAGACTGCAGCTTGGATGTCCATGGCGGGGGTGGGGTGGGGGGGATGAAAAGTAGACTTTGAAGGGGGAAGTTGGAGGTAAACATATATAGAAGAGGAACTAAGTAAGGGATCAGAACACGAGTTTTGTTGGGGAGGTCTGGCACATTCCTCCAAAGAAGACACAACAAGTTCTGAGCTCTGGCTCTCTTTATATCTCTTTAGATCTCTCTCCAATTGAGTAATACCATTTTAGTGTAGCTCCCTTGTCACTGTTGAGTCCTTGCTGTATGGTTTTCTGTGAAGATAAATTGGGAAGCACCACAATTTATTCAAAAGTTAAATTTTCTCACATGACTTGAAGAGATCCCCTGGCTTAAATGAGAACTTAAAGAGGTTAAGTGGCTTACCTACAGTCCCCCAGCCAGTTACTGGTAAAGTCAGAATTAAAATCCAGTTCTACTGACTACCAGTCCATATTACTTACATAATAAAACAATACCCTTTGGACTTCCTTTTTCAACAAAGGCACATGAACAAGTTGAGATGAGAAGAATAATTTAGATAAAGCAGTAAATTCACACACCAGTCCTTGAGAGACCTTTTCTTAGACTTTCCTTTATATTGGTAAATCTCTGCATGATAATGCAGAGATCCCTCCAGTATGCTGATGTCCCTGACACTTGATTTTAAACCTCTGTATGCATACATTAAAATTCGTCTTCAGCTGAATCTTGTAATTATGACATGAGGTTTTTAAGTACATTGCCAATTTTAAAAAGCATTAATTTTATTTTTCCACCTTAGATGAGCTTTGGAAAAAAGTGATATTTTAATAAAATATAAGATGGTGAATTCTCAAAATTATGATAATGGATATGTGATTGGAGAAATAGCATAACAGAGAACTTATATGTACTGTAAACTACATATCCAAGTCCATAAAAATCACCACTGGCAGATCCCATCTTATATATAGGAATACTTTCCTGAAAGGAGTTACTGGAGAACCGATTTAAGTTTTTGGAATCTAGAAACACAATATAAGAAACATGGGCACAAAAATCAAGGATTACTTGCTGTTTAAAATAATATTTTTTAAATAACAGCATAATTTAAGACAGTTGGATAACACAGGATATATAGTTCAATTAAAGAAAATGGCAGAAATAATAGATAACTATTTGGCATATTCACCTGAAATCTCCTTGCACTATTAGCAAAACTCAAGGCAAACAAGCAGTCTCCAAGTTTGCTAACTGAAACATTCATGGACATTAATCTTCTATCTCCAATGACAGAATTCAAAATGCTTTGCATGGACAGGTGGTCCAGTAATTGTCTGTAACTGTGTTTTAGATAGATCAGGAACTAAATTCTGCTTCCACAAGAGAGCTGGGAAAAGGCTTTCAAATAGTAGCAATATCTAACTGCTTCCCCAGTAACAATACTGTCACTTTTATTAGTCTCTTCTCCTTACAGAAAACTTAAAATAGTTCTAAAGGTATAAAGAATACAAAGTTTCTCAGAAAAACCACAATCTAAGTAAAATCACATTTAATATTTTGTTGTTTCTCTTGAGTATTTTTCCTGAGCTCATATATTTTATGTAATTGAGGTAATGCTGAGTTCTTAATTGTGAGTCACTGTTTAACAACAACAACAAACCCTCTGATTTAAAAACTTAAAAATAGAAAGGGAGTAGATTTAAAATGTTCTCATCACAGAAAATGTATGTGAGGTATTGGAATGTTAATTATCTTGATTTAGCCATTCAAAATGTGTGTGTGTGTGTGTATCAACACTTTGCATACCAAACACATATACAATTTTTACCTGTCAACATACATTTATTGATTAATTAAAAAGTAATTTATTGAGGGATTGTTTCTCAGATTAGATTAGTTTTATTACCTGTGCTTTATGTTTTCCCAATGCTGTGAATGTCCTCAATTATAAATCTCCCATTTTATTATAATTACAAATGTCTCTTTCTTGATGGACTGTAACTGTGTGGCAGGGCTGTGATTTTCTTCATAAATTTTCATATCCATTTCTCCTGCTCAATACATGGTGGATACTCAATAAACCTGTTTGATGAATAAAATATGGGAAATATGTTGAATGAATGAGATATAGAAAAATCACTCATAACAATGAAATAATATTTTGAAACTAAAACTTTATAATCTTTTCTTTTCCCATTTAAAATTATATCTCAAATATTTTCTTGTATCTGAATGGCATCTATATTTGAAATATCCATGACATTCCAACAAGGAGATATACCAAAACTTCTATTCACTCCTTATTGCTGGTCATTATCCAGTGTTTTCCTAATCATGATCCCCTATCTTTCCCAGTAGACACATTTCTTTCTCTGTTCTTTTATGTCAGAAGTACATTCTTTAGTACTTCTTTAGATCCACAATCCCACCCCCCTCATTTTATCTTAATTGCCTTTTTAAAAGTTCTATCTCCAAATACAGTTCATTCTAAGATACTAGGAGTTGGAACTGCAACGTGTGAATTTGGGAGAGACAAAAGTCAGTCTATAAAGATATATTTTGCAAACGTTTATTTATTTGCTGTTTGCTTAACAGGTAGACATTCAAATGCCTGGTAGTCTTCACATGGGATGGGAAAATTTGGTGAAGACATTAAATCTCCCATACAGACTTTCAAGTATCTCCCCTGTTTTTTTTTTTTAATCTCTTTTTTCATTTCTGCCTTTAGTGATACTTGGAGTTTCCAAGTCCTGAGCCCTCCTGTGTTCTGGGTGGACCTCTTCCTCTTCTACCAGCTCATTTTGCATTCCTTCTACATCAGCTTCCTCTACCTTTATTCTCAGTAACCATGCCATCCTCTGCTCTCCTCTTGGCCACACCTTTGTGGATATTTTATAGCTGCTGCCTCTGCCTTGCTTCTTCAGACACTACTTCATCTTTTCTGATCTTCAGAAGTTCATTTAAAACAAAAACATTCTCACCTGTTTATGGTTCTTATCCAGTTCATTATTGGGAATTTATGCCATCTTTTAATGGGGTCTCAGAGGGAAGTATTTTGGAAGACCCCTCTGAATACAGTGTCAAGAGCAGATTGGAGGATCATGGAGGCGGAAAAAAATGAGTTATAGTCTTGGAGTTATTAGGATTTGACTCCTATAGAATGGATATCACATGTCCAGGGTTGATGTGAACTACAGAAGGCAAGAAGGGGTCCAAAGAGTCCAGGACAGTCTACCTGTGGAGAAGCAAAACACCGTCCAGCTTTGGGTTAGGACAGGCCTTCCTTTCAGTCCCCATCAATCAATTATTCTCTCAACACCTAGAAGTTGTCACAAGATGGCAAGGACTTTTTTACCCATCCCTCTATTTTTTCCAAAAGTTAAGAAGTAATCAACTTTGGGGAGATGACTCAGAGCATTGGAAAGGGGGCACGTTTCTGCTTCCCTAACAAGCTCTGGTCTTGATAGACATGACTGACCTTTCTATTTACATCATAATACATCGAATTTTCTGTTTTGGGCTCTAGATAATAGATGGGAGGCAGTAAGAAGATGTGTGTGAACTTTCTGTTATGAAGGGCAATTTGCAGAAACTAATCATCTTACAATAGTTGGTCATAAGAAAGAAATCCATCAACCAAGCATCCTGAATAGATATTTATATTCATGAACAATATTTGACTCCGAAGAAAGA